ACTTATGATAATGCAATTACTGTAGAAGATTGACAACCTAATGTCACATTGTCAAGCAAATCAGGATATGCAAAGAGACCAACAATTAAAGAAAGGGATATGCAAAAGAAAAGAATTCACTATTTCTAATGTCCAAATATGCAATATTTTTGGTAAGTCAACTATACTATGAGCTTAATATAATCGAAGGCTCATATTATTCGATATTTAGATTTCTTTTGATTTCCTGAGTTGATTGCATTTATAATTCCTTAATTATCTTGGTTATTGATCCCTTTGCATATTTTAATTTGCTTGACAATGGGAGCTGAGTTCTTTATTTTCTATAATTGCTACCATTTTGTGTTTCCACAATTCCAGAACAAGTAATGAAATTTGAATTCTTTCTCTCTTTTTACTTAATGATTACCACTATATATTTATAAGAAGTAGAACTACTAAACCTTTTAAGAAGGAGTTATATATACTTCTAATTAGTTTTGCTGTTCTTCACCCAACTATCTTTCTAATTATGAGATTAATGTGGAATCAATTGTTTATAGCTGAACTCAAACCATAACAATTGTCTACATAAAATCTTTCCAACATATAACTAATACACTAACTTTTTACTCACCTTATTTGCTTAACATTCAAAGTTATCATCATCCTGCTACAACAACAATTTTGTATCTAAACCTTCCATCTTTATATTATCTTAACTTTCATCTCAGTTGGTTATCTCTTAATGACATGCACAAAAAAAAAATTGTCCGCTGCGAAGCTTGGATTAGTGTCTAGATTAATAGTAAACAATCCATTGATTTTAACTGTTTATGTACTATGTAGAAGGCAACGAATTTGTTGACATTTGTCATCTTTTCATTAGTCAGTTTTTTTTATTGTTAATAATAGAGGTAACAAAATGAATTGTTTAGAGTTGGAAAAAAACCAAGTCAGAAGCTTCTAAACAAAAATATTTCTGGACCCAAAAATAGTAGCCTCCAGAACCTGTCAAAGAAATTATCAATAATTTCCATAAAGATTATCACACAGAGGATGAGTGATACATCCGGTGAGCGCCGGTGAAGAACGCAAGCAAAGCTGAATGGAAAAACAAAAAAAATAATGAAGAGAAATGTAAAAGGGAGATGAAGCCTAAGACCAGTAGTGTGTAGACTAGTTTAGTTCCAAAGTTGAGTTCTAATCTAGCATTCAGAATTGGGTGAAAACTTTCCAATTGGTATGGGTTCTTATGTCGATTAGCAAACCATGGTAGAGAAAGGTTAATAATTTTTGTTTCGATTACATTATTTTGAAAATTTGTTTCAATTTTTTTCTATGTTTTTTTTGGTGTAATTTAGTTCCCATATCATCTTAGGTTTTCAAACAAAGTATAACTCAAAGATGGAATACTTAAATATTGTCATTTAATTGTTGATTTAATCTTATATTTAAGCAATTTGAGGAGTATTTGTTTGGGTATCAATTGAACGATGACACATCATTAATAAATAAAATTTTTAAAAAAATATTAATTTTTTATTATTTATATTAAGAATTAATATTTATTCATTAATAAAATGTTATCATCTTATTCATTAACAGTGCATAAATTTTATACATTAAAAATACATATATCTATACATTCATAACTCATCAAATATAAATTCTTACTAAATTGAATACACATTGTCACTTGAAGGTAGCTTGAGCATATGGATGAAGTGGTTTTTAAGAACAATGATTAATCGCCAAATGTCTTTTGAACGCCGAGTTAGCACTATGTAATAACAGAGTTTACAACCATATCAACATTAGAAAAATAAAAATAAAACATGAAATTTTTATTAAAAAAATTCAAAATAAAGAAAAAATTATTGATAGGGAATGAGTTATTTATTTAACATGTCAATAAACGAATTGGATTCTTCTTTTAATATAAGTAATTATTCACTCATGACATTTAAAAATAATTATTTTCATGTTATGCCACATATTTGAAATTTAAAATTAATTATGATAAATAAAATATAAAAAACTATAATTAACAACTCTTCTATTAAATGAATAACTTGAGTAATTTCATACATTTAAAAAGTAGGGTGGATGACATTTAATTAATTAGATTAAATGATCAATTTCCAATGTTTGTTCAAAAAAAAATTTAACAGTAGTAAATAACACGCACATTAAATAGCAAGATTTCTTAAAGTATGCTGCTGATATGTTATTTTTTGCACATATAACATGATAAGTGGCCATTTATCAAATTTTGGATGGTTAAAAACTCAAAAAAACTTTAGATATATTTATTAAAATGGGGTGTAATGAGTAAAAATATAAATTTTTATATAAAATTTTAGGTGTGTTAAGTGGTTGGGTATATAAAGCAAATAAGATATTTATATATATATATATGAAACTTCCCCAAAGTATTCTCAAATTTTAAATTTATTAAATATTATATGTTAAAAATAATTACATAAATTATTGGGATCAAGTATCGGATTCATTAGGTTAATCAAAATTTTATATTACAAATGCTATTATCCAGTAATAGTACTTTCTTATAAGAAAATTAAATATGTATTTTGTGTTTAACAAATTGATGCAATTAATTTTTTTATTATGTTCACTTTGATCTGTTTGAAAAAAAAAATATATATATATATATATATATATATATATAACATATCAATATGCGGGTGTTTCATACTCAAATCTTATGCTACTATTTTCTAGTTTTATGCTAAAGTTAATTACATAAAATTTTTTTCAGAAATTTAGACAATATGAATTAGTATTATATGACTTTTTTTGTAAAATATAACATAAAATTTTTTAATTTATTATAAGATATATGTATCATTTCGTTAACATCGCTTAATTAAAAAATTTAAAAATTTTATTGACAATGAAAAAAATATTTTATTTATATTTATAATACTTTTATAATATTCATAAATCTTTAGCTACACAATTCAGTTTAAAAAAGGATAAAATTTTATGATTCTAGTAAATAAGAAATTTCTTCGATGGGTAATCATCTCTCAATGACTCTTTCTTGATGGAAATACCCTACCGAATCCCATGCACAAAGAAACATTCATTCCTTTCCAAGTCTTTTTCCAAGTGTTGGTTCTGCCTGGTCTCCGCCTCTTGGTTCATTTTGGAGGTCGTTTTTACACTTCAATATTAACAGTGATGATCATCTCCAAACACTTGTTCTCTGGGCTGGTTTCCATTAAGGAATCAAATATCCCTCGATCAGCTGGATTTAGGTTAAGGAATTTTCTCTACGGCCCTCTTAATAAAATTAGCTGTAGCATACTATCGTCGTGGAATGAGTTACTTTCGTGCTGTATCAAGAATGTTGTACCCATTCAATATAGATGCAATGGCATAGCATCCCTGCTCCTAGCTAGCTACGTCATGAAGATTGTCTGGTTTCATGCAGTTTGTTTGGTTCCTGAGGTATTTTCCTTTTGAGACTGGCCATGTGGACCAATTTTAAAACTGTTGCGCAAAGTTTGAATTCGAGCCACCAATTGCTCACCCATGGTATCCACTGTGCTGTAATGTCTTATTATATATATTGGCTGGAAACAGGGAGGTGATATAAAAGCAATTGCTTTCGACTCCTATGTGTTCCACGGTACCAGGTCTATTGATACAAATATCGGATCGAGCCATTGAACTACTCGCTATACATGGGAGTATGCGAGGGTTTGCCACGGCCAGGCGATATATTATATACTGACGTAGAGATGAAAAGCAAGTCCCATATCTTTAAATTGAAGATAAAATTGTGAGATATTTTTCTTTAATTATCACATTCATATGTAACAAATTATTAATTTTTTTTCAATAATATGATTAGATTGCATGATTTGAATGAAAATAACATATATTGACGAAAGTAACAGTTTGATATAATATTTTTTAACATCCTTTATGCTGTATCAATTTAATTTAGAACTAGCTGAAGTGGTATATATCATATTTAAAATTCTCCTTTTAAAACGAACTGAATTAAAATTTTATTATTTTATATTAAAAATCACTGTTTATATTATCTGTTTCTATTTATTATATTACAAATAATGTTCAATATAACCAATTTTTTTTGGTTTGGTGTAATAATAATTTATTAATATTTTATTCATAAATTAATTATATTTTTGGACTCATCTAATTACATATAAAAATATAAACATTTTGGACAAAAAGTGATAAAAAATTTCAATATTATTAATTCTTATCATTTTAAAATATTAAAATCAATGTAATGTTATTATCACTGGTTTAAAAAAACAACTAATTCAATTAAACAAAAAAAAAAGAAAATTACACAAAAAAATGGAGAGAGGCGTTGCTTAAATCGATTGGAACCTACCTCATCGAGGCACCCCATGTCATTTTGTAGTCGCCGAAATAGTTTCCACCCTTTCACCGACATTTCCTGCCTCTTTGACAGAATTCTACAATGTTTAACTTGGTCTGATTACGGCTTCTCAAATCCAGCAATGGAGGAGCTTATTATAATTCGCTTCTAAATATCTTTCATCTCTACCAATTCGACCAAGTTCAAAAACCCAGTAAACAGCCTCTCTTTTTTTCTTCACCCTAAATATAAGTGCTGTTTCCATGGAAGGTCAGTCTAATAAATCAAGAAAAGCCAAGTCATCCAAATGTTCGATGGATAAACTCGATTATTCTCTTTTGGAAGAGATTTTTCACCGAATCATATGCGTCAAATTCCTTGTTCATTGTACATCTGTTTCCCACCATTGGTTCAACTTGATCTCCAATCCTTTTGTCAATAACCGCCAGCTTTTACACCTGCAAAGGTCTAAACCCTTCACCCTTATGCTCAACTGTCACGGTCCAACTTCCAAGGATCCAATCTTCCAATCCCCAGGATTCTAATTGTCCTTTCTTCCTTGAAAATCTCTCCGTATCTTATCTTTCTGTAACGATTTACTCTCGTGCTATAGCATAAGAGGTCGCCCCGTTTATTACATTTGCAGCCCTTTGACTCTAATATGGCTTGCTCTGCCTTCAGCTCCCAAGAACTACAACTTCGACCAATTTGTTAAATTTGGCCTGTTAAGTAGTTATCAAGTGATTGATAAAGAATCAATGGAAGCACGGGTTGGTTCGGATTCATGATGAAGGCAGTAATTTAGTCGGTGGTTTATTTTCTTTTGAGATGGGAGATTGGAGTGAAACGTTTGTTTTAGGCCCATATTATGAGTTGTATGAAAACTCTGTTGCTTACAATGGTGCATTGCATTGGCTGGCTGAACCCTCTGCTATTATTGCTTATGACTTTGATGATAAAGTTCGATATCGTTTGGTTTCTTGTCCTATAACAAGGACAATGGTTGAATACCCTCTTTGTAGCCAATGCCTTGGGGTTTGTTGTGGGGTTTTGAGGATATTGGAGTTGGCGGCTTTTCCAGATTCTGATGGTGATTCTTTGACATTATGGGAGCTTGAGGATTACCCAGATGGAAATTGGAATGTCGAGTGTAGGATTCGATACAAAGAATTGGTAGCTGCAGGAGATCCTCGAGTTCAGATAGAGGAAAGAGGTAAACATCAAGGGCGTTTAAGGGCATTAGGGATTCACCCAACTGATAGGGATGTTGTGTTCTTGCAAACATATGAACATGTCGTTTCGTGCAATTTGGAAACAAGAGAGCTGAAAACCGAGGCTACAACTAACCACCTTGTGCATATGCCTGCTGCCTTTCCTGTTGATCTCCAATGGTGGCCAACGCCCATTCCAACACTACCATAAGGAGTTTAGCTTATATTGCTGAGGTGTGGAGTTCTTTCAAAGAAGCTTTAGTACAGACCATGTCGTTGGGTTGAGAATTTGGTGTTCATCCCAGGTTAGGGTCATAGAATTCTCCTCTCCTGTTATAACAAATAAGTATATGTTAACAGACTTGATTACGTCTTCATCCAACATTCCATTGGTGCTTTATTTTCCTGATCATAATTCTTATGAATTTTCCCAGCGCTTTTGTCATTATTGGAATTTTTTTTCCAAGAAAATAATAATAATATTTTTTTGTACTTTCTTTTGGAGGTTTTATCTGTAATCTTATATATTCTAAGATATTTTTGCTTCATGAATTTAAGTTGGTGATCCAACACAAACTGAGATTTGGAAGATTGATTGTTGATTATGATATTGGAAGTGGAAAGTGTGCTTCTCTCTTTATTGATTAAAGCAAATTCGCTGAAAGATAGTGAACAAATAATTTTTTTTGAATTTATTAAGTTCAACATAAATAAAACTATTTGAACCAGAAAGAGATGTAACGGTCCTTACTGCTCAATAAAAAATATATATATTGGAGACGGATGATTTGGAGTTGAAGCATTTAAGATCTTCAAAAGGCAATGGTCAAATGGGTTTCAGAAAGGGTTCTTGACTCAGAATCAAGCAAAGAGTGAGACCCTATTAATAATGCAATGCTCCCTGCATTGAGTGGGAAAAAAAAAACCCAAAATTCAGCGGTAGGATTATATTCTTGAACAAACATTATGGATTACAAATACAGAAAAGCTACAAAGACTACTACAAATACTAATGGTATTCTATATTATAAAATTATCACAATAAGTGTCAAGACACATATGGTGCGAATTAACAATTTTATGCGTATATTTAATGTTAGTGTTTTTCATTTTAACTTTTTATTTTACTATTACAAAAAAAAAGAAGAAATTAACTAGAAAAAAATTAAATAATATAATGCACTATGGCCAAACTACTCCGGGCAAAAGCAACTAAATTAAAAAGTTGAAATTGATTGTTTCTTAAAGCTTCATTGAGAATGTGGTGGGAGTCCTCCCTTCAAACGGGAGCTTGTGTTTTATGATTGGATTTTTAAATCTCAACAAATATTTCTTTTCTCCTAAAGGATGGAGAGGGTAATTGAAAAAAATTTGCATTAAGCAGCCAAAAAGTAGATCACATTTTTTAAGCCGCTTTAACGGTTTACTCAAAATCACAAGACATGTATAAGTTATGTAAACTGTAGTGTACTCTAATGGCTGAGATTCCCTCACAAATTATACATTGAACTATTCATTTAAGACGACACACCCTTCTCTAAGCTGAACAAAATTGCAGAGAAAATTGAACAGCCAAGAAAATGTGGATAGACCATGGCTTACAGAGTTTGTCTGAAGTAAAGCTAGTCCGCTGCTTGGCCAATCCCAATCTTGGATTTGCCAATGATGCTATGCCTACGGGGTCTTTTCTGTTACATAATTAGTTTCAACTTTCAACCTTGTTGTCTTTGTTATTCTTTCAATTCTTTGCATTTGTTGAGCTAACATACTGTATTTTACTGCTTTTCCCCGATGTTCTATATGTGTTTCTGGAATTACATCCACTTATTTAGACCATCAGAAGTTCTTCTGGACTGAAACTTGCTTTTTATATCATCTAAATTTTTTTACCAGTTTTGACTGTGACTGGCTCATCCTTGAACAGTCTATAACAAATGATTTATATGTTTCTCTTAATTTTTCCTCCGCTATGTGTCCAGATGGGATAGGAAGAGCAACAGGATAGTAAAAGTTCAGTTTATTATGATTCTGTTTGCCCAAAATCTCACGAAAGTGAAGTTAATGGAGATACCACTAGGTAAAAGTCCTTGATAAACTTGGTTCTCTATCTTCCTGGAAACTTACAAAAAAAAAAAATTGAACCAAAATTTTCAGTTAGTTTATATAACCGCTCGAGGTGGCATGCATACTTATAAAAAGTTATTTGTTTTGACATATGTATAAATGATATATAAACCAGGGTCAAAGACTTTGGTTGTGGGAAGGGCGGAAAGGACAGAAACATTCATATATAACTACTACAGGGAGATGTTCAAAAGTTGCCCGAAGGTGAGGCGGATGAGGTTTGCCTTGACTGTGTGTATGTGCAACCTCAATGAATCATTTCAGGACAGGGAATTTCCAAAACTTCTTATTTCTTTGGACAAAGCAAACTGGCGAGACGACCATCTTAAGTTTATTGGACCAAAAGAGAGTTTGTCTGGAGGAGTGTTAACCAGCCAATTCCTCGCTTCAGCAACATGCCCCTGTTGCTTCAACAAAACCGTAAGTATTCTACTTCAATCTCTTCTTTTTGAGGCTTACACTAATTTAATTTCAAATTCATTTCTTCGTATGCTATATAGTCAATGGTGTTCTATATTGAATCGATTCGATCTTTCTTTTTTCTTTCCTCAGTCCCTCCCAAATTTTACCACAAATCTTTACACTTGTGATGTGAAGCAAGGTGGTTATGATCATGGCGCTCTTAAGTTTAGAAAAAGAAAGGAGGGAAACATGAGTAGTCGAGCTTTTAAACATTCATCCATGGAGACTGTCAATGAAAGAGGTCCTGTCTATTCTTTATTTTCGGAAGAAAATGATGGATCTGATAGTTCTGATGATTCAGAGGATGAAAATCAAGAGGAAGCTGAAGAACAAGACTTTGCCAGTGGCTCAGATTCTGAAGAAGAGGAGGAGTTGGAGGAGGAAGGGGAAGAGGATGAGAACGAGGAAGATGAGGGAGAAGAAGAAAAAGCAGAAGAAGAGGAAAATGAAACAATCATTTTGGTGTCAGTGAAAGATAGTCAGGATCCTGCTTCAAAATTAGCAGGTAAGATCAAACTTCACCTGTGTTCCAATCATGAATATCTGCTAAAAGCCATCCGAAAGATATTGGCAAAGCACACAAAAAAAGAGCTCCATGGTGATGGTGACGGTGATGTTTCTTTTGAGAATGTATGGCCTGGTTACACTCTCAAATATTATAGCTATGAAGAAAAGCTGTTGCCTACTCCAAATGTAATGGACTGGAAGGAAGTCGTTGATTTGCTTGGTTCTATTCTAGCAGTGGAAGAGGAAGAAGAAGAAAATACTATTTCAATCAATCTTGTTAATGAAGAGGGTAATATAGAAAATATAGGTTCTGTCAATCTAGATGAGTGCCATGATCACAGAGATTTCGTAACTTCTGTCCACTGCACATGGGTGAAGTACACCGGAAATGACCCTCAGCCTTTGCATACCATCAATGCAAGCACAGCATGGCCTGGATTTAAGATTACCTATCTTCAGCAGTGCAATGAAGATTTTTCAGCTCATTATCCTTTCGATCCATGTAAAATATCCTGGACTGATGTTGAGAATTTGCTTCACAAAATTATTGTGGAAAGAGAAGAAAAAAATAATGGTGACTACAAAGGGATGAAGAAGCAGAATAAAGATTGAGGTTAATTCAACTCCACTGAAACCTCCATCTTGCTTCTGAAAAACTCAGTCTGATTTACTTTGTAAACTTATGCTATGCCACTGAAATTGAAAGAATACTGTGTTTGAATAAGAAGTCATTCATATTCTTACGGTATATGCCCAATCCCTTAGAAATTTAGAACTTTTCATCAAAGAAAGATCTTCGTTTGAGGATCAAGGAAAAAAAAAAAAGTTCTTGTTACCAGTAAAAGAACCAAAGAACTATTTCCATTTATGCTTGTGAAGATGGATATCCTGTCTATGATAATCATACTGGATGGGACCAATCCATTCATGGTTACGTAGCCGTTACGAAATGATTTTTCATGTTAAAGTTGTAACTAGTATAGATAAACCAGAAAATGTTATTCAGCATTGTTTATATATTAAAACTAAATAAACTTTCCTACAATAGAGATGTACGCATAGGGTTGGCAAAAAAATGCTCACGATAAATTAATCCTGATTTTGTTAAGTTGCCTCCAATCAAGGTTCTGAAAAGAGCTGGGACTGTGGTAGGAGTACTTTGATGCTTCTTCACAATAAGGTATTTGTTCCGAACCATCATCCTTAATAGCTTCTTACAGTGCTGCTTAAGAAAATGCATTAGTTATAAGCTTAGGAGTGAGGAAAAATTGATACTAGCGAAAGCAAGGTAATTAAAGTTTTTAGCTTGAAATTTTAGTTGTGAGAGAATTATAGTCTCCATATAATCATCATGATTAAAGCTCCAATTATGAGTTCTAACACTTCAAATAATCCATGCAAAAAGGAGAGAATAAAGATCTATGTTTTCTATTTTCTATTAACAATTATCTTTCATGTTTCAAATGAAGAGAATAAATCGATAATCCCACATACAGACCTATAGTAATATCTCTACCCACCTAATCAAAGTTGAAAGTAATAATGTATCACTATGCTAACATTTTATGTTCACATCTAGTTAACACAGGAGTTATGAGCTAGACACTTGTGATAAACTTATTATATATCTATGGCCTGAATTTAACAAAATAAGCAGAGGTTAATGAACCTCCAGATTATAAATAGAATAGCATCTTACCTGGGCGTTTGGCAAGTCCATTTTGCGAATAATATCATCCTGCACAAAAAGTAAGTAGAAATAGGTTATCATTTATCAATCACTTTAAATTTCCTTTCACTCATAAGTACAAGAAGCAAACAGTGGTGAACATGTAGAAAACAATTGCTTTACTTAAATACCTGACTTTCTCAATGCAAACAAATATTAAAAAAATGCATGAATAATAGAATTATTGCAAACAATCTTAATGAAGTGGAGACATTGTTGGATGGTCATGACTGTTAACATAACAAACAAGCATAAATTCATAACTTTGTATGCTAACTTATATTTTTTCAGGGCATATGATGAACTCAACCAAAAAAGACCATTATGCAACCTCAACCACATTTATTTGAATTATCCCTTCTCTTTCACAGGTACAGAAGTATAACCGGGAAAAGGAAAAAGAAATTTGTTTAATACAAAACTACACAAACTTGTTTTTCAGCCATCAGCAGAAATAAGAAGTAAAATATTTTATGATCAGTAGCAATTTGCAAGCATAGAAAAAGTTATCCAAGATTTTAAGTAATTCTACACCCTCATCCCCATTCTTTTGCACTAGTTTTTAAATTTTTCCATGTACCAAAAGCTAGCAATAATGCAATTAAAATGAAATAAAAGAAAATACAAAAATCGAGTACCTCCAATATTCCTGGATTTTGCATCACAATACGAAAAGCCTGACAAATGATTCTCTTATGTATTTTCTTCTTGTTGATTCCATTTGCATCATAACATTTGGAGCCTTCAGGTAGATCATGTTTATCATTTGGTCCTGGTAATACAACATTGCAATGCATAGAATCTTCATGCAAATTAATGGTGTCAGATTCATCAAGCAATGAACCAACATCATCATGACGATTGAAAATGGTGAATTTTTGCACATCATTGCCATTCTTGCATATGCTTGAGGGCTTCTTTGTTGATCCAGCAATGACACAAAGTGAACCATCAAATCTGACCTGTATAAAAGCATCATCCATTAGAGGAGCCATTTGTTAGGATGAAACTTGACTTGTGTAGTTGTCAAGTCATCAAACAGAAAGGTTCAAACTTCCACAGTTCAAGTTTAAACGAGACCAAATAATTGTGAATCTATGAAGAAGTTAGAGATAATATAATGGTTCTCCTTCACTCTTCTTCTACATAGGACCAGATGACCACTTGATGCTAGAAAATTAGAACAAAAAATCCTAACAAGGTCAATTCATTTGTTTCTGAATAAATGTTCTAAATCTTGTAATAGGTTCATAAATATGTTACTCAACATATTGAGTTAATTGAAAATGTAAGGCGTAAAAGAGATACCAGAATGGAAGATGACCCAAAAGGGGGCCAGAAAGATAAGTCCCTCCAGACCTTCTACTTTGCATCTTTCATCACAATTTGTGTAAAATCTAGTTATGGTGTCTCAATTTTTTTTTCCAAAATTTCAGGAAAACGTGTGGTCAAACGACAAAATCAAACTACCTTTTCTGCTTGTCCAAACTTTTGAAGTACATCAATGACAAGTTCAGCCATTTGTTCTCCTGAAAAGAGCAGTAAGACATAGATACTGACGTCATTTATGTAGGTCTTTCCTATAATCTGAAAGAAATGCATGTTTAAATATGTCCTTCCTAGTAAAAGTTGGCATGTATACCTAATGTATTCGTAACTCTGGAAACTTCTCTAATGGCCAAACCTTCATCACCAGCCTTCTGGATGGCAGCGTAGACAGCTTTAAAGACCTCAGGAGACAAAGTACCAGCATGTTCTTGACTGGAAGATAATGGCATCAAATGTGTAGCATAACCAACCATCAGTTCCCAAGGTGATTCACAAGAAACCCCAGGTGTAGGAACAGTGCTTCCCAAATTGAGGTTTTCCTTAATAATTTCAGATTGTGATGAATTGCTGCCAACTTCAAGAGTTGCAGAATAGCCACCTATATAATTTCCATCATCAAAATGTTCATTTCTAAACTTCTCCCCGTTCTTGAATGATGATTCTAGAGAAACAGCTCTTGGCATCGGTGTTCGATGCACAGATAACTTGATGCCAGGAAAACCTTTTTCTCGGCGACTATCAATGGAGTCATTGAAAACAGAGGGGTGTTTTAAGCTTCTAATAAATTCGGCTTCTCCAACACCTTGAACCGGAACACATGGAGCAATGAACAGTTCACCTGAAGAAACTAATGCAAACAAATGAAAAATCTCTCCACACTGTAAATCTATAGTGAGATCAATTCCTCCACTCATAAAATCTTTTTCACATTCACGAAGCCACCGTGAAAATTTAGCAGCACTGCTTCCTGTATGTGGTGGAAATTGAGAGTCACAGACATTTCCATTGCTGGAGGCCTCCAACATAGCCCCCTGCCTGCTCCGAAGAACCTCTTCCAAGGCAAAATTAATATTTTCCTCGTTAAAACAATCACAGTCTTCTTTCTGGACACCTCTGTTTTGATTGCATTCAATGCCTTCAAACAATCTCCTGTAAATACCTGCTCCTGATGAAGATGGTATATGGGGTCCACAATCATCATCATCATCCATTGACCTGCTCTCCAATTCATCCAGATGCTTCTCGTGTTGTTCTCTAAGCATATTACAAAGGCTCATTAAAGATTCCCTGAATCTTCTTTTCTGCTTTAGGAATGACATTCTTCTTCTGCAAACACTTGGAGGTGCTGGAAGGTTGTGAAGTAAGGCCCTGCCTTTGTCATAAAATTTTGCTCGAAGACCTACTCTGTGTTTTACATATTGAGTTACCAATAGCCTGAAATCAAAACATTCATTTACACAAAATGAAGTAATTAATAAGAAATATACTCCATAGGAAAATGCAAAAGGGAAAAAAGACTATTATTCTTATATTTAAAACAAGTCAAACGATTTTCGGCTAAAATAGACAGACAAGCCATTGGCTGCATACAAATAAAATTGTTCACATGCAATAAAAAAATGCAAACTTCCCAAAAATTTTCATCACAAGTTAGTTTTCAGAGAAATTATTTTATGCAAACTTCATTGGAAACATGAATTCAACATTAATTAATTCATTTTCCTTTACCTGTCTGCTTCATCTGTCCATGGAAACCTTCTTTGACGTGCTGACTTCTTCTTGGAAAAGGCCAAATGGTTAGTAGAGGAATGATACTTGTCTCCATTTACTGCAGGCTTTTCAGAAGTCTTCCAATGATCTTCCTCTTGATGTTCTTCCAACTGAGTTTCATGCTCTGGGGGAGAGGCTGAAATAAAATTTTCTTCTCCTGTGAAATCTTTATCACTTCCAGCTGATCTAGGAAGGTTTTGGTGACAAAATGGTTCAGTCTCGTTATCAACTTTTCTATGTTTTAAAGCTCTAGCTTTCGCAGATCCTTTCCTTTTCCGAGAAAAGGAACTACTTTCCATTGGTTGGCATTCTGCCTCCACAGCATTTAAATTATCCTGAAATTTGTTGCAACGTCGGAGCTTAGCATAACACACACGAAGCACCTGCAACATTTCAAGGGAGAAATATTTTAAACAACAAACCACAGAATAAGGATTTTTTTTAATAGTCAGGTAAATATGAACATTTATTTCAACAAATTAATGAAAATCATTCAGATATGAAATTTCAATATCTCAAGCTTTTCTCTTGGTCCAAACTCTAGCCAATTTCCTTGTTAAGATTGAAAAAACTGAAAAATCTTAAAACATGATCTGACCTGCTCCAAGGTGAGATTTAGATTGTTTGCAATCTCCTTACATCTTTTGTATCGAAGTTTTTCATTGAAGTTGCTCTTGGCTATAAGTTTCAGTACCTTTGCCTGCTCAGCAGCAGTCATTCCTCGAACTGAGGCCCATGACTTGTGACCAAAAATCTGTAAAAATTTATTTGTGATTACCTTTCATCTCTTGGATGGGAACTAAAGCACCAAAATCTTAAGGGTTATGGAAAAAAGTGAAAAACATACTGGATAAAATATAGAAGACTTTTATTTCCTCGTAGATGAGGTCTTCAGTAAAACATGGACATTTTCTCATGTGAAAATTTCTGAAACATACCATTTATGCATGGTCGCAAAAATAAAATGCATGCATACCTCATGAACAGTGGACCCAGGGAATGCATGTAAAGCAGCTTTTGGATCAACCACTGCATAAGTATATTCCAAAACTTGCCAATATTCATCAATAGCATCTCTGTTTGAGAGGATAAACTCATGTCTGATAATCTCATGTCCGGCATCTCTGTCTGGGCAAAGATCAAAAGATCCAAAATGTGCTGCAATTAATGGTGGTTCCTCTATACAAGTCTTAAGCTCCAGGGCATAAACAGGACTGGCATGTGGAAAAGTGACTCCATCATCAGAACTTCCACTAGTTACCAACCGAATCAACTATGTACCAGTATCAGTTGTTAGGCTTGATACTAGGAATATATAAGATTAAAGCATCTAAAGCACTTGATTAAAAAAAACTTTGGAAATAAATGATAATTTATGCTTTAAAATCAAAGATAAGCAGCATACAGTATGTAACAACCTATTATCTACCATGGTAAATATATATCTGTAACTGCACTAGATCATGACAATTTTCAAGTTTGATTCACTATGACCCAACCAAGGTTAAATCAGAAATCAGATTTTGATCAGTCAATTGGCTTTAGCAATCACTTGTACCACACATATATTTTAGTACAGAAATCACTAAGGTCAAATTCAACAAATCCAATTAATATAAGAAATGAGTGATTATTTCATGCACTCATAATTTTAGAGGATAATTTCTTTACTAAATGTCAACAAATTAACATATCAAATGTAAAAAAGAAGTTTCAACAATGAGATTGATTTTTTTTTCTTTTCAAATGCTAACTAGTATTTGAAATTAGATATGTTCAACAATAACTGTCATATGCAGATACCAAGTTCAATCTTACTAAACCTACACAATGTTTATTTGTAGGTTTAGAAGTAGCAAATGTTCAAGTACTCAAATTGTGTCCAAACATGTCATTTAATTAATCTGAATGTAAATCACATCAAGATAGATAATCATCATAAGATTGGTCTTGACTAGATTTAATTCTGTTCTCTGCAAATTCAAGGGTAAGCAATATGCTTTTAATGTTTATATTATCTTACAGTCCTAATATCATATGAGAGGCCAGCAGCTTGGAAGAAGGAAATTCTATTATAAAAATATGTGGCATCCCAAATTCTTTTATTGCTGAGTTAATCGGGCATATAATGACCCAACCCCTCTGTTCAAGAGAATGGTATCTACACCAAGGTAATAGTATCATATTCAGACATTTAGAAGACTGAATCAACCAAGGTCAAATGATATAATACATGAAAATTTCTATATGCATATATTAATAGAATAAATTTACTTTCAAATGTGAGCAAGAAATTATACCTTCAACCGCTGTAAAATAGATATAATCGATGATAGTCTCCTAATTGCAGGAGTTTTATTTAGATCATTATACTCCTGAATAGAAAGATCACATAAACATACTCCCTTCTTAAACTTCTCTATCATGTTGTCAACTTTAACAGTAGAACCCACAACTTGAAGGTATAGCTCAAGTGGAATTTCCTTGATAGCTACTTCCACATCAAACAGATTGCAAGTGACATAAGGATTTTGTAGATCATGATCTTGTCTCCCATATGATAAAACATCATCCCCAGCAGATGAACTACATACATATTCCCAGAGAAATCTATGCAGCAGCTTTGCCCGAACCATTTTTCCCGATATGAAACCATTAGCACGCATGGCTTCCATTCTAAGAGCTAGAGAATCAGAACTCTCTCGAGTTTGAGTTCTTTGTACACTATCCAATACAAGAATTGAGCTAATGTTCTTCCTGAATGAGGCATGACCATGAGTTTGTTTGTCAAAAGATGCGAGTCTATCACGAATTCTACCTAGTACTTCAGAAGATAAACTTTGAATAGATGGGTGCAGGACCACCTTGACTTTCCGGTTAACACCAGTGTTCATAATCTCACGTACAGCTAGGTGTATACATTTGCATTGCCCTTGTTTTTCAAGCTTGCACAATATTCTGTCTACAGTTTTCCTGTCCATTGTTGTGCCTTTGTCCTTCTCAAGATTCACAAGCAACCTATATAGCTCTGCTCTCAAGACAATCTTCTCAACCTGCATTGGTTAACCCACAAACACACATAGTGCTAGTAGTTAACAGCTAACCAAATTACAGGAAAAAAAAAAAAACAGTTATTTCCTTAAAGTGAAGTAAATGAAGCAAAGACCTGTAACCATTCAAGTATTCTCTGCTCTCTCAGGGTGCCATCAACTGTCAAAGATTGACAGGGCTTAAGCGTCATTGTTGCACTCTTCACTAAATGGACTCCTGTGTTGGAAAACACTTTTTCTGTTTCATGCATTAACTCTTGGGATTTGCAAGTATTGGAGATACTATTGCTTTTCTCACTATCTTTTCTAGAGCAAGAAGTGAGCTCTATTTCATTTTCATTTTTGTTTGTTTTCCACAGGGTATCACTTTCAGAATTCAAAAGATGTGAGCATTGGGCTGATCCATCTAAAATCCTGGGATTGACAACACCCAAACTAGAATTTTTGCTGAAAAGGTCTTTTGATCTACTTGGAATTACATCAGATAATTTACAGTTCCTGGCTGTCCGAATTCTGTATTCACGAGTTTTGTTATGAAGTTCCCCCTGCATAGGCATCCCAAATTTACTGCTCATAATACAACAATTTTTGTGATTTGTCTTCCTATCAATTCCAAACCTCCTGCCTACCTGTTTTACAGCAAAATTTATGAATGAGATTTAAAAAAGGCCTAGATTCATACCATTGTACGTGTGTAAAAATGTGCATTCCAAATATCTGAAAAAGATAATAAATGTGACAGAATAGATTGACGAAGAGAAAATTCTATCTACGCAAACAGTTCAGAGAATATTGATTCTGTCTATCATCAAGAAATAATTTGTGTCTCAGGTTTAGTCTAATTTGTTCAAGTTAGCCCCTAAAAGTGCATCAAGCCAAGCATGCACTTAATTACATCATTGCTCTTTTGACACTATGTGCTTACTTCTAACTTTAACTTCAGAAAACTTTTATTGGACGTATAACACAACCTCTTTCTCCTCCATCATATATGAAATGTAAATTTTTAAGCATTTTAAGAGCAACAATGTTGGTTAAACAAGGTAACATAACCATGAAACTAGTGTATGACTATTATGCCCTGTTATGACTCAGATGGTTAAAAATAAAATAGCATCTTAAGAAAGGCTACAAACATCTCCAATCTCAACCAACTTTAAAAAGGAATTTCTTAACTAACTCTAAAGATAAAACTAGAACTCTATCAAACTTCCTATCAAAATTGACAGCTATGAACCTTTCTCTTCCATCAATATGACAATGCAGTTGCTTCTGAACAACTTCCATTTGCTCCTATTCCTCACCAGCCAGAAAGAATTATGCATGCCCAAACTGCTGTTTTCTTATTTCATCCTAAGAATCATTTCTTTTTATGTGTCTATACTTCCAAAGGTAGAAAGAGGCAGGAAAACATAACCTAGCTCACTCAATAATTAGTTCCCAGAAGAGATGGGCTGCCAGTTAAAATGCTAGATTTACTTATTGCTCCATTTGAGATTGACTTCCACTAGGTCTCAACCTGTTCTAGATTTGGAAAAATGCTCCAAATGCTGTATTGAAGTCAAACATTTTACAAATCCAAATCCCTCAAGAAAGTTCTATCAAAATACAAATAAAACAGTTTTAGCATAAACAAGATTGCTTAAAAGAAAAATTTAGATCCATATTATCTACCCCAAGTTCCAAACGTTTTAAACAAAGACTTCCTTGATATGAGAAGAACATTAAGCAGGTATCACTTTTTAAACAAAGACTTCTTTGATATAAGAACATTAAGCAAGTATCATGGGCTTAAAAGAAAAAAGCAGATCCATGTTATCTACCTTGAGTTTCCAACTTTTTAAACAAAGACTTCTTTGATATGAGAAGAACATTAAGCAGGTATCATGGGTTAGGATAGGATCCTGAATATTTTCTAGGAAGCTACACATACAGAGTTGGAACTTAAATAATGCAGCTAATGTGCCTTATTATATTAAAAATATGTAACTTTTTCTTCCTTCCACCTACCTCCAACCCCTCACCTATCTATTTCATTGAGGAAGGTGCAATGCCAAACATCAAAAAGTATATAAAACTCTATTAAAAAGATGCTTGAGAATTAAACTTTTCCATAATTTTTGAGATATAGAAAATAGTAAATATAAGACTCTTTGGAGAACCTCTGTAATAAGCATCCCCTTGAATCCTGCAGCATCAATTGCATCATAAATCTGATGCTCAATGGGAAGCTCCACAAGCTGGTTAGCTATTTGGCATCTTCCCATTTTCATCTCTTTGCCTTCAACATATCTAATTGTTTTTTGCTCAAAATCCATCTGGGAAAATTTTTTTAGCAGATGTAGGCAGCGCTCATCCTGTGAAAAGATGTTAAGGCATAATTTTAGAAACAGACATCCCCCGAAATAGGAAAAAAATTGTTCTAACACCTTAGGCAAAACTATGTCTCAATTATATCATATGCATATAGTTTTTCTCCAAAATTTTATCACGTTTGTAGTTATTTAATCATTTATATTTAGGAAACTAACCTCCTATTAATTAAAAAAAAAAGAAATTAAAGAACAAATATGCTTTGAGTATCAAATAACTTATGCAAGGTTTTACTCATCCAAAAAATAAACACTTTAGCAGCATTCAGTAATTTAAATAAAAGAGAGAGAGAGATTAAAGAACAAATATGCTTCAAGTATCAAATAACTTATGCAAGGTTTGACTTATCCGAAAAAATAAACACTTCAGTGGTGTTTAGTATGTACTGCAGCAGAAAGAAGAAAGAAGATTATTACTTGGGTTGAATTTTATTCCATCAATTGCATTCAAATGGCCTCTTTTTGAAGCACAATACTGAATGCAAATCACTATATTTAGCAGCAATGACCGAATGAGAAAAAAAAAATTATGTACTCGGAAACTAAGCAACCTATAAACCAAAACCACTGGAATACTCTAAAATCATAAAACGCATGAGTTGCATACAATGTAAGCATAAATGTATAAAGAAAATGGAGATTAGAACGTGAAATCGAGAAAAAACATTGGTTGCGAGGTCATCAAACTAACCTTCCCATTCACTTTTACATAAATCTCCTCTACTACACCAGCATTTTTCAATCTGCCACATATCTAAGAGCAAGTTGCAACAGAGGCAATAGATGAAAACTATTCAGAATAAATTACCAAGATAATTGAAAAAATTAAAGCACTAACATTTTCCCATTTATGCTTTGACTGTTTCCCACTATAGCCAAGATCATGTTTAATATCTGAAATGACAAGAACCTACAAAGAAAAAGGAGAATTCAAATAATAGCATCAGTAAAAATTCTTTAGAAAAAAAAACTATTTATATCTGTCAATATTTCATGTACAAATTATGACCTTGGAATTAGCTTCTTCAAGTTTATCACAGATGGCTTTCATGGATGGTACATAATCTTTTACAAGCACATCCTCTTTAACACGTTCAATGTTCGAATCCTCTTTACCTTCAGTCTCTTCCTCTTTGGTTATCTCAAATTTCTCTTGAGATCCCAAATGCCTTGCATAACGATATAAATGAATTAACCTTGTGCATTGACCTTGTTTGCCAGCTCCTCTTGTTCTATCAACTGCCTCTTGCCTTATAATTAAGCCTCTTTTCTCAAGCCCCTTTACCAAATAAAAAATTTTGTTACCTTCAATTCCAAATTCCTTGCTAAGCTGGCTTTGAGTTATCCCATTTTTTCTACAAGCACACAATTAAAATAATAATAAAAAAGAGATTCATCAACGATTTCGTCTCATCATTTTAATATACAAAATTTTCATATACAATTTGACTCTGTTTGTTGTTCATATCATATATATTTGAGAAAAATTAGTAAATAATTAAAATAAAACACAAATACCAAAATAATATTTCTTTTTAAATAATAAAATCAGGATTTTGTCATTCACAAAAGTTAAATATTTTCAACTATAAATAATTAAATAGACCTCTTGTCCTTTATTTTCAAAGTAAAATAAAATAAAAAAGCATTTAAACGAAACCTATATTAATAAGGAAATTACTACACAATAAATAATTTCTTGTTAAACAAATTGACCTGAGATTATGCTAAATTTAAAAAGAAAAAGGAATAAGATAAGCAATAATGAAATTAACCTAGCAATGGCGATGCGTTCAAGAGCAAGGCGTTGTTGACGAAACTCTTTTTTGTCACATTCCAGAGAGAAATCGTAAATGCCCAAAAAATTATCACGAAGTTTGTCCTTAGCAACAATAATCAAATCTAGCTTTTCTGCATCCTCAAAGCATTGAATTGAAGGGTCGTCGCGATCGTAAACATTTTTTGCCACTTGAAATTGAACTGTTGGAATTTTAAGTAGGTTGTTCCACAAGACTCGTCTAAATTCGACACTCAGGTCAAGCTTCGAGCAGAGGGTGGATAAGGCGAGGCCATCGCGGCCTTGAGCACAGATTTCTTCAAGAGCCGAGGATAGGGTCAATTCCATTGATCTGACTGGTTTCCATTTCAATGGAACGGTTTTTTTCCTGTGCCATTTGAATTTTCACCACATATAAGCAGCACCAAGTTGTAAAACAAATAGCATTTTTTTCCCTTTGTTTCAAAAGAAAAAAACATATGAAAAGGGAGGAAAGTATGTGGTCTACAAACAAGAAACTTACTCACTCATATTCTGATCATATTGACGAGCATCAAATTGGGATCCTTCTAGTGCCAAACCTAACATGACTCTAAAGAAGGAAGAAAGAATAAACTTATTAAGCAAAGTTTATCTCACCTCCAGATAGAGATTATAACTTTTAGATTAAAGATATAACAGGATAATGATAAAGAAATCACAATATTGCATAATATACAAACACAAAAGAAATACAATCTCTAAAAGGTAATGTTGAAAGTTTTTAATCATCTTAAAGGCCAAAGCCTTCCCATATTGAGAAAAATGTAACAGAAGACCCAAACTTGCACACCAAGATGAAGAAGAGCACAAGCATTAACTTCTAATTTAGTATCAGAAGAAAATATACAAAGAGGCATATGGCTATCTGATATTTGGATCATAAATCCTCTACCATTAGACACCAAATTGCCTACCTCTCCAAATTTCATCTAGGGCCAAGCACTTAGAAGGAAACTATTTTTTAGAACATACTAATGTTGGGAACACATAACCATCACTCATCACCATTGTGTACAAGACTTTATATTCTAAACGAATAAGCAAAAACCTGATTTGCCCAGTATTACCACGGGTCTATGAATGACCAACCCATTATTACTACAGTAGAAGCAACATAGCTCGTATGAAGGTTTTTGTACAAAAAGTTGGTGTTAGTTAATCCTAATGCTAGGCCGCACACCCTCATCCATTCAAACAGTGACAATAACTACACATTTCAGCTCAGACCAAAACATAACATACTTGTTAATATCACACTCGGAGTACACCAACGCAATACATCAAAACTGAAGCTATCATCACACTTTAACATTGTGATGTTTTTCCTTTAGCAAGTAGCAATAATTTGCATAGTAGCTAATTGTAAGATTTCAACCCCAAAGCTAGAAGTTACAACATTGACAGTTAAGATCTGTTTGCAATCAGAACAACTAGTAAAACTTTTGAATAACTATAACCTTCACAAATTCCTTTCTTTGGAATCTAAAATTAAAACCGGAGGAACCCTTTTTTTCCCTTCTTTTCCTCTTCAACCTCCAACAATTTTTTCTTTTCAAAAACAAAAATAACAAGGCTAGTCTAGCAAAGCATGAAAGTTGTTAATTTCTCAAATCTCGAACTAAAAAAAAATCAACTTTACCAAAAAAACAGAAACCCAAAATCAACTAAATGAAATAATCAATATCAAAAACAAAAACCCAAAAACAAACATAGAAAACAGATCAAACCCAGGTTCCAAACTGTAAAACTAAATCCAATAAACATCAAATAAAATCCAACAAAAAAAACACAGAAACAATAGGAAACCAATCGAAACAAAACATTCAAAGAAAAAAAGAATCCAACAAAAATAAAAGTAGAAACAGAGAGAGAAAAAAGAGCAACCTTGAAGCAAATAAAGAGAGTAAAAGCAAGAGAAAAAAGAGTGTTTAAGGGGGTAAAGTGGATTTTGTTGAAGAGTGAGAGAGGTGAAAAAGGCGGTTTTTTGGAGGCTTTTTCCGTTGAGATTTAGCCCAAACTCTTCTGTTTGAATGGGATGGTTTTTTTCCCGTCGAATTCAAAGGGTGGACATGATGGATGATTGGCGGGAAGGGAAAGCGGCGTGGTGGCTGAAGAACTAGGAGAAACTAGTGAGAAAATAGTCTAGTGTTCGAGTCCTATCAAAAACAGAAAAGTATAGATTTAAATGTCTAATATCCGTTTAATTTGACTCCGTTGCAAGTAGGGATGGCAACCCGGCTTTTAAAATATTTTATTAAATTTCAATTCATTTTCACGTCTGAGCTATTATTTTTATATTTATTTCAATTTGATCCTGTTTTTTAAATATTTTATTTGATTTCAATTCATTTTCACTTCTGAGTTATTATTTTTATTTTTTATTTCAATTTGATATTCAAATTATTTTTGCATATGTTGTTAGAAATAATGATCAAAATCTTATAATAAATTTATTTAAAATATATATTATTTGATAAATAAGAAGATTTATAAAAAAAAAATTATGAAAAAAATAAATTTTTAATAAGTAAATTTGATTTAAAAAAAAAAATTTTTTTTAATTTTAATAAATAAGTTTATATACTTATAAATAGGTAAAGTTTTTATAGGGTTAGATAAAAGAAAAAAATGTAAGAGAGTTAATAAGGTTTTATAGGATAGACACTCCATAAAAATACTGAAGATATGGTGTATGTGTGTGTTTATGAGTAAATTAAAAAAAATTGAAAGGATTCACATAAGTATGATACATGAAACATAAATATAGTGCATCAAAATAGACTAACATAAGTATGGTGCATGAAAGTGGACTAGAGAAAATTAAAAAAATTTATACAAATATAATATATAAGTACATATGAATATGTGTTTATTTGTGTCGAAATGATACATATATGTTTGTTTAAATTGAAAATACTCCATAAAATTAGATAAAATTAAAAAAATCTATAAATATTAACATATACTTATATGCATAACCATTCGATTTAAAATTAATTAATATAATATTTATAAAAATATTATTTTTAATATAAATTACATTTTATTTATATTAAATATATTATTTTATTAAATTTATATTTTAAATTAAAATATTAAATAATAATTTTATTAATATATAAATACAAAATTAAATAAAAAATAAAAAATATTATATATATATATTTAATATTTAAAACACTTCTCCAACTCAATTTTGATTTTTTAAAAAAACCACATAATCCATCTCCAACTAAACCTTCGATTTTTTTTTAATTCTATTTTTAAAAAAAATCTGACCGATGTTATTGTGTAAATACTCTATTTTTTTGAAACTATTTTAATATTATTGAACTCAAATTTTAATTTGATATTAAATTTTTGTGAAATTAAATTTTAAGCCCTTCAAAATTTTATTTCCTTTGTATGGGAATAGAAAATTAAAGATCAGAAAGCTTGACTCGTGATTTTTTGACAGAATTAAAAGAAATTATACAAGGCTTGGATTTGGCATACTTAGGCATCAATCTAATGGAAAAAAGGAAAGAGCATTCAAAGAAATCAAGAATCATATTTTGAAAGATTTGATTCTTTTAGATTTTTCCTACAAGCTTTGGGATTTAATTCAAGATAAAATGGAGTTTACAGGAGGTCAATGAGACGGAGGAGGGTTTTAAAAAAGGGTTTGGGCAGTAAATTTTGGAGGTTTCGGGCTTAATTTTGTGAGATTTTTGTCCGAGAAAGACATCGAAGAACCATTGGCAATTGACACAATTCATCAGCAATGACACAGCAGTTAACAATCACTTCACTCAGCTTCAGGAAGCCAGGAAGCAATTTCACTAATCAGAAAGACGATTTTCAGAACACCATATAGGGTCCAAACACAGCAGCTCAGGGACCGAGGATTCAACCAAAACAAAGAGACAAGTAATTCAATCTCCAGCCAACTGCAAAATCAAACTCAACTGAAAATCAACAAGCAGAGATCGAGAATGAGCAAGCATCTTCGTACCCAGCATCAATCACAGAGGCAAGAAACTAAAGATAATACAGGAGCAATTCCCAGCAAAGGCAGAGTTCGGTATTCAAGCTTGATTCTCAGACGCAAACCATCATACACAGGCAGAAGCACAATACAAGCAGCCACAATAGAGCTGGAATCAGAAAAGCACACAAACGGCTCAATTCCCAAAATCAAGAAGCGGTTCAACATCACAATCCCAGCACTAAACCCAGAACCAGCAAGCCCCGAAAATCAACCCAAACCCGAAAACCAGTAAACACGGCCTATAATCGAAGCAGCACAAACAACTCAGATAGTTAGACACACCAGCAAAAAGCAAGAGAAACCCAGGATCAAGGCAGCAGGCATTAACAATTAGCAACTCGATACAATCAATCCAATATACCACAACACACAGACATTACCAATGGAATCGCTCGAGAGCAGAAGTCAATTTTTGGGTCTCTGGCTCCGTTTGGTTTGAGATTGTTCTTTTGGGTTTTAGTCTTGTAGAAGAAGAGGATTGATTTTGTGTCGTCGACAACGAAAAGTGGTGGCTTAGACAGTGGCTGAGCTTGGGTGAGGCTACACAGAGGAAGAAGGCCGACGGTCATCGAACGGCGGACGTGACGGCGAGCTTGCAGGATTCTAGGAAGGGTCACTAATTTCTGGAATTTTAATTTTGAGGCTGTCTGAAGAAGTTTGAAGAGTAGTTAAATGGTTTGTAGAGAGAGAAGTATGGAATGGAATAATGAAGCAAAGATGAGGATTTTGGGGTTTTATGCTTAACCTCAAACGGCAGTGTTTGAGCTTAAGGAAACTAGGGCCCGCGTTCACTTCGAAACCTGTGACCCGAGCATATCTAACCCCACCCACTTGACTCGTGTGATGCTTCGGATTATTATTTCAGCCGTCTTCCTTTTGCCCTTTGTTGACAAGGTTTTTACCCTTTTTTTTTTTTTTTAATTTGATTAAATACACGATTTAGAGTTCATTTAGTTGAGCGAGATATTAATTTTGATGAGATTAAAAATAATATTAAATATAAAATTAATTATTATAATAATAAGATTAAAATTAATAATAAAATATATATTTAAATATAAAAATAACGATAATAATAAAATATAATATAATAAAATAAAAAATTGTTATTAAAAATATTATATTAAAATTTTATAATATATTTGATATTTACAAACTTAACAAATAATTAAAATTTAATAAAATTATTTTTTATCGAATTATAAATTTGTTAAAAATTAATAATAATATATTTGTTCATAAATATACATATATATATATATAAATGTAAAGATATATTTATTCGTGGTTATAATTTTAATGGTAAAAAGGAAAGAAAAAATGAAATGAAAATTTATGATAATATTAGAAAAGAGAATTATAGTGAGTAAAAAACATTTCACTCAAGACAGTGGTGTCAGATGTGAAAATAGGGTTCTAGTACGAATTTTTTGCAAAAATCTCATCACAGTTCGTTACCCAAACGTCCTACTAAAACACGATTGCACAAAAAATCATGATAGTTATGCTGAAACGTGGCTCCAGTGACATCCAAATCCAGCCTCAGTTTCTTGTTTAAAAATAATAATGAGAAAAATAAAAAGAAAAAAACTTTAGGTATGATTTTTATTATGAGATTTATTTTGCATGAATTTTATGATATTTATTTGTGTGATTTATTATAATATTTTTATATGATTTGTATGAATTTTATTTATTTGCATGATTATTTTCATGATTTTTATTATATTTATTTGTATAATTTTTATTATATTTATTTGTATAATTTTTATTATGGTATTTAGTTGCATGGTTTTTATTTTGGATTTTATTTGCATAATTTTTTTGCTTGATTATTGATATTTATTTATATGATTAATTATGATATCATTGCCTGATTTTTTTTATAATATGTTGATAATATTTTTGTATGACAATATTTTGTAAATAAAAGAAATTGAGATTTAATTTTTATAAGATATTTAATAAATTCGACGGTAGAGCCTCTTCATATAAATAATGAGTTTATATTGAATAATCTTGAGATGAGAAAAAAAAAATTTTGGTAAAATCCTAAAGATTTTTTTTTTTGTATCAAAACTAATAAAAAAATTATCTTTGATTAAGGCTTAAACAATATAATATGTGATTAATTTGATACAAATTTTGAGCGTTGTGGGATACTAAAACCTTTTTTATATATAATCGATTCCTAAACTTAATTCTGTTTATGTAAATCATGTCCTATTCTTTTTAGAGGTTTTAGTCAAAGTTAAGATAACCTTAAAAATTATATATTCACATAAATGAGAATATCACACTTATATAAAAAATATTGATAGTAACTTTATAATTTTTATGTTTAATGGACAATTTCTCACATCTAAAAATTATGACATATTAGATAGGGGTAGTTGAAACCCATTAAGTACAAATTATTTTGCTATCCCTAGTTACATGTGTTATCATTGGATCAGATTTTCTGTTTGTTATAAAATGATAAGTTTAAGAAGATGAAACTCTTTAATATAATTTATTTTAGAGTTAATATTATGAATGATCTGAATTTAATAATTTAAAAACAATACGACACAGTGTTATGAAAGTGATATGAATTAAAATTTCAACAAAATTAATATAAATTCAATAAAAACAAAAAAAATTGTAATTTGTATTTTCCATGTCAACACAAACATAACATATAATTTTCGTGTAAAACATGATATAAATATACAAATTATCATTGTTTTACACAACATAAATATATGAATCACTAAGTTTTATTGAAATATTTAATGTGGTATATGAATTTTAAAATTTATAATATATTACTTGAACTGTTAATTTGTTAACTAAAGAAACTCCAAATATTGACACATAACGTATAAACAACTCTCCAAATACCACATTAGTTAATAAATTTGTAATTTGAGTATCACATTAAAATTTTTAAAATTTAAGTATCATATTAAATATTTCACTATAATTTAAGGGCTATTCATACATCAACTTTTAATTTTATAACAAATAAAAACATTTTATGTTTTAATTAATTGTAAGGATTAAATTATTATATTAAATTTTAAAGATAATATTACTAATAGCCCTTTAACTATAGTAAATGTTTAATATAATATCTTAATTGTACCTAAATTATAAATTTATTAATTAATGCAATACTTGAATAGTTATTTGTTCGTCATGTGTCATTATTTAAAGCGAACCACGTTAGAGGTAAGCATAACATTAATTAATATGTTCAATTTTGAAGTACCATTTTATAAAATTTTAAAATTTAAATACCACATCAAATATTTTATTATATTTCAAAAATCATTTATAACATTAACTCTAAATTTTAACATACAAGTTGGGCGAATAATTAATATATATATATATATGTGTGTGTGTGTGTGTGTGTTTTCAAATGAAGCTTTACATACTTCAATTAATAATAACATATTGAGTGAAGAAATAGGGAAACATCAAAACATTTTTCACAGTTAGAACTCAATAGCTTTGATATCATATTAAGATCAATGATCAATAGTCTCTAAAAAGGGAACAAACTCAATTATAATATTTAATTTCTAATATAAATACTAGAGTTTTTAAATTTACAAAATCAAATTAAATAATTAATACTATCTTATTAAAAGATATTTATAAAACTAATTAATTATTAATTAAATATATATTGATGCAAGGAATAATTATTTTTTATTTAGGGAATAATGTTGGAAGTTTGAATTTTATTAAGCATAAATTTATACACGTCCACGTATTTTCCATCATGTAATTTATGTGAAATTTTCGTAGTTATGTAATACAAATTGTAGAAGCTATTGTGAAAAACAAATACTACAACTTTCAATATAGCAAACAAAACAATGAACTTAAAAAAAAAACGTATATTCAAATATATATATATATTTTTATGATGGAGGTAAGTCTAAATCATAAGGGAAAGTTCTTTGAAGTTTCATTTTGATTTACAAATTTTTCTAGCTTGACTTACTGTGTTTCTTATTTTAAGGATTCTGGTTTCATTTGAATTAATTTTATTTTCTGTTTCTTTCTATTATAGTTGCACAATGTGTTCTTAAGTTGAAACATAGTAAGACAATTCGTATATGTTGAATTTTGATTTGTCTCGATTTGAAAAGGGATAATTTTTTCTTAAATTGAGGTTGGGATGGATTTTTCTTAAAAAATTGAAGTTAGAAGATGGGTTTAAAGTGTTTTGTTATGATTCCTTTAAAGATTATAGAAATATATTTTATTATTTATTTAATGTTAAATTTATTTATATTATATTGGTAAAATTATTTTTTAGTATGTTAATTTAAGAGATTGACTTAATAAAATATTATATTATTATATAATTAAGATGTAATTTATATTAAAAATAATATTTTTATGAATATTATATTAAATTAAAATTATTAAATTAACTAGATGTGATTAATTTAAAATTATGAATAAGATAGGATATGAATTATATTGTCGAATTAAAATTAAATAAAAATAATAATAATCACATGTCAAGATAAAATCAAATGAAATTATTTTGATACAGGCGACATCTTGACTTTTAAATTAAAATTAAAATTTATTAAATTAAATTAATAATATTTTTAGATACATGTGACATTTTATTTTGATTTTTTCATACTCATTTTTTTGTTTTTTATTTTTTAACTAGATAAATTTTGCATCAAAAAAACTAATAAAAAAAAAGTTAATAAAGATATGTATGATAAAATAACCCATATACTATGTGTTTCAATTATTTCGTATTCAATAGGTGCTTTTAGGGATGGTAAAGCAACTTGTAACCTATAGGTTTCGAGCCACAGAGGATCAAATTTTGTTTTGAATCAGGAGTTTGGTCGAAGGCAAATTTATTTTATTTATAAAATCAAGGTCAAGCCATAAGTGGGTTTAATGTCTTTCATTTTGCCTAGAGTATATATAAATATAATTTTAATTTTAATTAATTATTTTATTATATATTTATGTATTATTATATTAATAAAATTATTATTTAATATTTTAATTTAATAAAAATACTTTATTTATATATAATTAAGAAGGAATCTATCATTCTATTATATAAATTTTACTCATTCTAACTTTTGTTTAATTTTCATTTAAGGTGTGAACATGTCATCTTTTATTTTTTATTTTTTCTCTTTTTTTATCATTTTTTGGTTTTTTGTAATTTTTAAAAAATTTGATAAATTTGTCAAAAAACCTTAATGAAATTATCTACGTGACAAACCAATTTTAATTTTTTCTATTTTTTTTAATTACATAATTTTGCAACCAAATAAGTCGATGATTAAGGATGACAAAATAATTTATATAATATAAGTTTCGATCTAATTCAATATGATAAGAGCCAATTCTTTCTCTTTTTTTTTTGTTTTTTTTTCTCTTATGTTTTTTTATTAGTTAAATTTTATTAAAAAATAATGTCAATAGAGGTATCAACATAGCACTCCTATTTGTTTATTTACTTTTTTATATTTTTAAATTAGATTAATTTTATAATAAAATAAATTGATTGATAAGAATGATAAAACAATCAATATCATATAACTTTCTATCAATCTAGATTCGATATAAGCGTTTTTACAAAAATTCAATATTGAATCAGTCTAATTGATTTTTTTTTATAGAAAACATAATAGGTTAAAGCGAATTTAATGTACTTTATCTTAAATTACATCGTAATATATATAAAATTTATATTTTATTATTTTATTTAATTTTATATTTATATGTATTATATTAATAAAATTATTATTTTATATATTCATTTAATGTATTTATATTTTTCGTATCAACCAAAATTATAATAAATAATTTTTATATAAAATATAATATAAATATATAAATTTTTATAATTTTATATGATATAAATATATAAATTATCATATTTACATACAATATTGTGTGATAATATTTTTATTATTAATAATAGGAACACCCCAACCAACGAACCCGAATTACAATAAAATGAAATACTGCTTACATTCGAACAATAAGATATGAACCCGAAAGGGTTAGGGGGAAAACGATCATTGTCTGGTAGCGGAAACGAGTCTCCTATTCCATCCCGCCTCAATTCAAGGGATGGAATAGAATAGGGACCTTTCCTCAGTCTCCGGGGTAGCAGCAGTTCCTCTCTCTGTTTAGGGTGGATACGAGTAAGGGTGTAATTGAATCGAGTCGGATAATAAGAAATTTGAGTTTGAACTCGATTCATAATTCGAGGTTCGATATTCAATTTAAATTTGATCGAATTTTTTTTTTCAAATTTGAGTTCGATTCATGATCGAATTCGAGTTATTCGAGCTCGCTCGATTAGACTCGATTAATATGTAAAAATAAGCTCGATTCGTATACTTGATAAGAGATCGATTATTCATGCTCGAACTTGAACTCGAATTTAAAATATTTTATTAATTAAAATAATAAAAATATATTTAAATATAAAAATTCGATTAGACTCGCGAGCTATTCGAGTTAGATATAAAAATATTCCAATTCGATTCGATCGATAAATCAAATTATTCGAATTCTAACTTGACTCGATAATAATCGAATCAAATTTAATTTTTTTTTAATCGAATTCGAATAATTTATGAATATTAATATATCATTTATATCTTTAAACACAAGAGCTTAAAAACTAATTGAAGGGCTTCAGTAGCTATATGAAATCCTCAGTATTCTTGTTGTTGTATGGGACCGTACTGGTCTAGGGTTTTGATAGCCATAATAGCTTTTTTTTTTTTGGATTTAGAGCTATAAAGAAAACAAAAATATTTGTCAAATCCACGAAAGCGGCGCTAACAGCCAAAACACGCAGAGCCAAGTTTCTTACCGTATAAAATATCCCCTAGAACCCAACTCACCGAACATTCCTTAGATCCGTTAATTTAAATCGTTCCATTTTTTCCAGTTCACTCAATCAACGGTCAATACTTGTTTTTAATATTTTTACAAACACCAGCACCATCTCCGTACCATACACAAAATAAAAGGCAACGTTTTTTTTTTGTTCTACCAAACCCTAACCTGCACATTGTTTTTACCAAACCAAACCAAAAAAAAAAAAAAGTGAACTTACATTTTTCTTACTCTCTTCTTTCACTAAGCCGAAAATTTATCTTCCTTTCTTTTTCTTCCATTTTTTTTAATAATTTGATTGGGAGTTTAGAAAATCATGGCTTATGCATCTCGGATCATCAATCACTATAATAAGGTACCTCTCGACTTTTTTTTTTCATTTCTCGTTTCTCGATTCGTTTATTGTATTTTCTTTCTTTTTTTTTAAATGCTTTGGTCAGTTTTAGATTGAAATTCCTTTCTAGATTTGAGTATTTATCGTAGTTGCTTTTAGTTCGTTAATGGTATTTATAAACTTAACCCATGATTCCTATTTACGTTCATGTGATTAATCATGGTTGAATTATAGCTTTTTATTTATGTAATTTTTGTTGGTTGTAAGCTTTGTTCTTTGTTTTGAATTTCTATTGTTACAGTTAAGAAATGTTCCCAACTTAATGCGGCATGATCGTGCCGTTTTGGTTCGTTGGTTTTCTAATGGAGCACGATCCTCTGTTTTTAAAAGTGAAGGTACATAAATGATGCCGATGATATAAAGATTGTTTTCTTCTTTGTTTCTCATTTCTAGTTTTCTACAATTCTTAAGCATAAGAGCTGTTTTCAGAATTGTGTTTAGTCTGCTAAGTCGACTCACAAAACGTGCATCAAAAGCCTCCCATCGAGATGGTTTTACTAAATGTTTTAGGTTTATCAGATAGTATAGGTATATGGTTTGCTCATATTTCTTGATAGGTTCAGTCATGGTAGCTGGCTGGAATGCTATTTTTCGTTTTGGATTTGTAATTACATTTAGTGATAGGTAGTAGTTTGTTAATAATTTGAAAGCATAACAAAGTGGATAAATATTTTTTTATGTTTTTTTAAGCAAAGCTGGTTACTTTTCAGATGTTACAAGGACCTATCCTCTTGGTTATGCATCTGCTGAAAGAGTGAGGGTATCTAAGTTTGTTGCCTGTAACCCTGTAAGTGTGTCCTTCTCTTTTTTCCCATCAGTGGAGCAATAGATATTGTAGTATTTTCGTTGCATCATTTACCTTTCTTCTGCTGCAGACTCTCCTGTGCTTGTAAATTACATTCATAATTGAGGGTAAGACTCAGTTGGCAAAAATACTAACTGCTTCACCTCTTGTAATGCAGGTATCATCTGGTTTATCTAAGAAAAGTCATTCAAGGACAACAATGAGATTGGGAATTCCAATGGATGGTGTGGCATACAACAGAGAAATTTCATGGTATTCTTTCCAGCATTTTTTTGACCCTACTGGCGAATTTTACCATTTCCTGGTAATGTTTTCTTAATTATTTCAAGCATCTAAACGTTTTCCCTGTATCCATTATCAGTTCACAAGTTCAGTCAAGGAGAGGATTTGCATCTGAAGCAGGTATGGATTATTGCTTTAAATATCATAGGTTGTATTGATATCATACTATTTATATTCTCTCAAGGACCCATTATTTGTCAAATGGTAAAAAGTTTTGCACTGACTAGTGACTACAACAAGAATGTGTGTTTAACTTATGAAACTGCTCACCTTATGCTAAATGCTAAACTGTGACTTTGTTGATGTGCTATCCTTAGACATTTCTATGTTGAGAGCATGATTGGCTGTAAGATTCTATTATTATTAATTTTTGCTGTGGCTTGTTGAATACCCTTCCTAAAGGGACATCTCAGATAATAGGAATGTAGTTTAGGGTAATAAATCTGTGTAATATGAAGCGTGTTTATCTGGTTCCTAAATCATAATAATGTGACTACACTGTATTTAAGGAGTGAGACATCATGACTACAGTTCATTCTTCATCTCTCTTTTACAAGGCATCACTATAGGACTTTTTTTTTTTTATAATTTTTGTTTTGCTAGTGCTACCTCCTAGGTTATGCTGGATTTATTTAGCATGTATTGGTGTTTCCAGTTTTTTTTTTTTTTGCCAGTGCACAGGTTTGTTATATTTATGGCTGAGCACATGGCAGTTGAAATGATGATTGAAAGGTCTCTAAGTTGTACCCTGATGCATTGATTCTAGGATGTTACATTGTTTGTTAACTGTTTCATCATTTGTTGTTGCAGCACTTACTCAATATTGCTAATATTTTGAAGTTGCTTTCAGGCCTCCCTCCTCACCAAGAGATTGGAATGCCTTCACTCTCTCCCACAATGACAGAGGTTTGAACTGTCCTGGATCTTTCCAAAATATCATAAAAAAGTCTGTGGTTTTCCTCTAAGCTTGCCATTTCCTAAATGCAGGGAAATATTGCTAGGTGGTTAAAGAAAGAGGGTGATAAAATGAGTCCTGGTGAAGTGATGTGTGAAGTTGAAACTGTAAGGCATTCTCCTGTTTGTTGGCCAACTTGTAGCACTTGATGAAGTTTCTTCTTCATTTTCTTTGCTCATATCAGAAGTTAGTATTTTATTTTATAACTTTGTTTCTTATTTGAAGGATAAAGCAACTGTTGAAATGGAATGCATGGAAGAAGGTTATCTTGCCAAGATTATAAAGGGAGATGGGTCAAAAGAAATCAAAGTTGGTGAGGTATTGATTTTGAGAAATATATTTATCTTTCTTTGGTTCTCACCTTTGTGGGTTCGGGAGTCTATATGACTAAATAGAGGAGATGCATATTGGCTTTGCACCTCTTGGATCTTCTGTCTGCTTCCAGAATAAATTACAATTCATGTGAACATTTGTGCAGTTAATGTTATTTATTTGGTCTTGTGGTCTTGTGTAGATAATTGCCATCACTGTTGAAGAGGAGAAGGATATTGCCAAGTTCAAAGACTACAGTCCTTCAGCATCAGATTCTGGTGCTCCTGCGGCAAAAAAGCTGGCAGCTCCTCCTCCATCAAAGCAGGAGCCTGTTGAACAACCAGTTAGTTCACCAGAGCCTAAGACTTTCAAACCTATTTCACCTTCTTCTGAAGATCGCATTTTTGCAAGTCCTCTTGCACGAAAAATGGCTGAAGATCACAAGGTTAGTCATTGAGTGTTGTGACTGGAAATCTCTCTTGTTCAGAGACAAGACACTACTGTAAGTATCTAATCATTTCTATCAAACTTTATCTTTTAACATTTGCCCATTCCTTTTGGATGCAAATTAGGTACCTCTCTCAAGTATCAAAGGAACAGGTCCTGATGGACATATTGTAAAGGCTGATATTGAAGATTACTTGGGTATCATATATAAATTTCTATTCTGAGAGATTACTTGGGTATCATATTTATAGTAAAGAATGCCTGCTCCTTCCCCCCTGTTTCTTGCCTTTTCAGTATTCTTCAATAGTACCAATTGGTGTATTATTGTCACTTCTTCTGCTTACTGGAGAGTTTCCCTGTCATGTAGCTTCACCTGGGAAGGAAGTTTCAGCACGAACTCCTAAGACAAAGGATGCAAAACTTGCAGCTCTAGATTATGTAGATATCCCTCATTCTCAGATACGAAAGGTATGTAAAAAATTATCATCATTTTTATAATTTTCATGAAAGTCCAAGGTTGTTAAGTGTTTATGGTTCTCGGATTTTATTCTATGGATCTACTTCATAGAAGATGATCCCCTTTATATAAAATTAAGCATTTGATTTTGTTTTGTGATAATCTGCATTAAATTGTATACTAAAAAACTACCTTTTGGGTTTGTTGAACTTGAATCTTTGCATGAGAATGCAGAGAAGTTGGTATCCCTAACTTCTCTCTGGGCCCATTTGTTGTCTCCCCATTTTGATGCCCATTCCTTCATAACCAATGTGCTTTGTGAGCCTCATTTCTGCTACAAATTTGACAGGTCACAGCATCACGCTTATTATTCTCAAAGCAGACTATCCCACATTACTATTTAACAGTGGATGCATGTGTTGACAAACTTATGGAGTAAGTAATAGTCCTTATTAATCTTATAAAAGATAAGTAATTATATGATATATTTTGATAATTTTAAACTGTATCTTTGCATCCAGTTTGCGGAGCCAACTCAACTCATTACAGGAAGCTGCAGGTGGGAAGCGTATATCTGTCAATGATCTTGTAATCAAGGTAGACCACTTTCTATACATTTAATTACCGAGCTTTGAGATGTACGAAGTGGATCCTGATTTTTACTTTTGGTGTGGTTCAAGGTTCTCCAAGAGGTTTATGTGTAATGGCAAGTGGTCATTATAACGTTGATCTAACATGGCAATTCTTGATTAAGCTTCAGAATACAAAGTAAAAACATATTATGTCAAGTTCATGTCTCGTCATATTTACTTTTTTTTTCCTCCATGTTAACCTCCAACCATTTCATGAAATTATGTAACTCTTTCTTTCTCAAGTCACTATTTTTATTTTTTTTTGAAATTTTTACTCCAAAAGTGGTCTGAAATGGCTGCTTTTATGTAAACGATAATATAATACTTCCGAAGATAAGAAATTAGTGCACATTCTCATTTTTCTTTTGTGAACTGCCATTAGAATATTGCGAACTGTAAACATTTTCAATTTAAGATACTTAGAAGGTAGAAGTCTTTGTCAACTACAGGCTGCTGCATTGGCTCTCCGGAAGGTTCCTCAGTGCAATAGTTCATGGACAGATGACTATATTCGCCAGTGAGTATAAATTAAGTGCAAACTGATTAATTCATGAGTGATAATGCATATCATCATAGCATGTCTTCTTTTGCTTCCAACCCAGGTATAACAATGTGAATATTAATGTAGCAGTGCAGACAGAAAATGGACTTTATGTCCCTGTGATCAGGGTGAGCAATTGTTTCAACTTATTGCTGTTTCATTTTCATCAATAATTTTCTAGTTTAAATGATTCGTTTATTTTGCATATTGCAGGATGCAGATAAGAAAGGTTTGTCCACAATTGCTGAGGAGGTCAAGCATTTGGCACAAAAAGCCAAAGAAAACAGCTTAAAACCTGAAGATTATGAGGTAATTATGCTTTTATATTAGTAAATGATAATTGATGGTATTATGAATCCAGAGCTTAGCTCAATTGATTCAGCTAGCCACCCTTAAAATGTGGCATCCAATAAGTCTGAGGTTCAAATCCCATCACCTACAACCTCTTCCCCTATCTCCAAGCTGCGGCCTCTTTTGTACCAAAAGAAAATAACATTTGATGCTATGATGATCATTCAACTTATATGAGCATGTACATGCTGGGTTTTTCTCTTTGCAGGGAGGCACGTTTACAGTTTCTAACTTGGGAGGCCCCTTTGGTATCAAGCAATTCTGTGCTATCATTAATCCTCCTCAGTCAGGAATTCTTGCTGTTGGGTCTGGTAAGATTTGCCCCTGATTTTGCCTTAAACTCACGTCATATTCATTTCTGCTTCATAATCACTGGACTTGACTGTGTGCAGCTGAGAAGAGGGTTATCCCAGGCTTGGAACCTGAACAATTCAAGTTTGCTTCATTTATGTCTGTAACTCTAAGCTGTGATCATCGTGTTATTGATGGTACGTAGTTCTATTAAGAATCCTAGTAGTTTATGATTAACCCAAGTCAAACAATGTTCAATGTCCCTTAGACTTACGATCCAAGTAATTTCACTTGCTTTTTTTTAGGTGCAATCGGTGCTGAATGGCTGAAAGCTTTCAAAGGCTACATTGAGAATCCAGAATCAATGTTGCTCTAAATCAACTGGTGGTTATTGTTTCTTTTTGTTCTATACATATCTCCTTGCTGTGATCAATTCGCACGAGGGATTGAATGCAATAATTTCACATGCATTCCTCAAAGCAATTTTCTTCGAAAGTAGTGCTATCACTGAAAACGAAATTAATTTTTTTGGGAATAAGGGGGATTGACAATTGAGGAACTAAACTGAATTCAATTTCGCCTTTTGCAGAGTGTAATAACCCCTTCCATATAGGTCACTTAAACTGTGAATACTTGGAATGGTTTTTAGGGTATGCTATTTCCAACCCATCACATTTCTAGTGCTTTAACTAGTCAGAATGCTAAACTTCCATTATGATCTCGCATCAATGTTCTTTATTCTGTTTTTCAATCTTCTGAATTTGCAACAACTAGCCTATAGAAGTAGTCAAGGGTTGCCAAAAATTTCCTTAAAACTTGGCACCAAGGCACCAACTGCAGAATTGAAGTTCAATTTCATAGGTGTTGTTTCTAGTTTAAAGCCATTAAGAGCTGTGCTTTGTGTTTGCATATATCGAGGGGACCAAACCAGACTGGCAAGTAGAGTTTGGTAGTTGGGTATTTTTTTGGCTCCTTGTCATCATTGGTTCCTCTTTTGTTAAAGCAACAAAAGAGGTAGAGGCATGCAGCAGATATAAGAGTTGGGCAGGCAGCTCATGTTTCTTTGGTAGCACTTACATGGCATTTAAATGAATTTCAATACCACTACCATTTACCACTAGCATTGCTAATACAACCTCTAGCTCAGAGAAATAGAAAAATACCACTCGCCTTTGGCTCTCAAATTGTTTGCTTGCATTTGCGGCGGGTAATCAGTTTTGGAAAATGTATCCTAAATAGTTTTTCTAATTAGCAGAGTTCAAAACCTAAAACAAGCTAGGCTTGTGCAGTTCCATAAACTTCCCTATCCACTAACCTTAGCACCTGACCCTAGGAGTAAGGAAAGAGGTAAGCATATGAATGGGATCATCACTTTTGACCATTACCCACTGAGAGACGGGCTAACACACAACATGACAATGATCATCCAAGACTGCATCATTACATGCTTTACAATGAAGCTACGACAACAAATTCATAATAATCATCTCAAACTAAGTTCAACTGACTGAAGAATGTTGAAAAATAACTTAGTATTTGTTCTGCAGACGCTTTATTTCCCTTGTCATTCAATAAACAAGACACTTTGCCACGCACTAACCTTAGCACCTGATCGTAGGTGTAGGGAAAGAGGATAGGCATATGAATGGGATCATCACTTTTGACCATTACCTAGTAAGAGATGAGCTAACAGACAACATGACAATGATCATCCACGACTGCATCATTAATGCTTCACAATGACGTTACAACAATAAAAAATGCAATAATCATCTCAAACTAAGTTCAACTGCATGTTGAATATTGAACATCAACTTAGTATTTGTGAACTTGTTCGGCTGACATTTCATTTCCCTCATCTTTCAATAAACAAGACACTTAGCTACACACCAACCTTAGCACCTGACCCTAGGAGTAGGGAAAGAGGAGAGGCATATGAATGGGATCATCACTTTTGACCATTACCTACTGGTAAACAAGTTAACACACAACACGACAATGATCATCCAAGACTGCATCATTACATGCTTTACAATAACAAAAATGCAATAATCATCTCAAACTAAGTTAAACTATAGTCAAATATCAAACATTAACTTAGTATTTATCAACTTGTTCGGCTGACATTTCATTTCCCTCATCTTTCAATAAACAAGACAGCAATTTAATTACAAAAAAGTTTCTTGCTTCAATTATGTCTAAACTTAGTTTCCATGTACACAGATAAACTTAGTTTCTATGGACACATAGGCATCTAACAGAGACAATACCATGGCATCTTTTTCCCTACCATGACTTATAAAACATTTCACCTACAATACATAAAATTCAATAAGCAATAAGAGAAACCTAATTACCATTCATCACATAAACAAGGCATAAAAAAGAACAAGTAAAAACATGTTTGATCGAATACCCGATCCATTAATATAGAAAGAAGAAAGTTACAAAAATCATTAATCCAAAAGTGCCATTATTCACCACAATCAAATTCACATCCAAAACCTATTATCATTTTTTTTTTCAAATTTAACCTACCACCATCAAAATTTCCGACTTTACGAAGTATTACTCACTGAAAATTTCATTTTTTTATTCCTTTAAATAGGCACGTATCTCTTCAACACTTGCTTCCCAGCAACAACCGCTCCAGCCGCCAACCCACCAAGCGCACCTGCAACCGCAGCAGACCTCACCCCTCTCGCAGCCCGACAAACAGCTCCGGTCGCAAGGCCAGCCGCCACGCTACTCCAGACATCATCACGATCAGTTGCCGCCACGACCCCACTCTCCATCCCTGCATAAATCAAGCCCACCACCCCGATCCGGTTCCCCCATGAACGACCCGTATGACCCGAAGTATTCAAGATCCGATTGATTTTCAGTTTCAAAGAATCGCCTGGCTCGAAATTCCTGAGAGCAGAGAAGAGGCCGAAGGCCGCGCCGGATACAGAGCCGCCTAAATAAGCGGAACCGGTATAAAAGGTTACATTTTCGCCCCAAGAGCGGCGTTGATAGACGGATTCCTCGGCGAAGAGGAACTCCGGAGAGGTAGGGAGCTTGTAAAGGTTGGTTATGGGAACTTGGAGGTTTAGGTCCTGGTATGGGTTGTAAAGTCGGATGTTTGGGTCGGTTTCTCGGTCGGAGCCGCGATTATTAGCCATCATTGGGTGGTTCAAAACTTCGAGTTAGGGTTTGGGTTATGGGAGAGAAAGGAGAGAAGGGTCTTACGGTTAGTTTTCGGTATTGAAACTTGGAACAAAACATATGATTCTGCATGTAGGTTTTGTATTTGGGTTTTTTTTATTAGTCGGTTGGACCGGAAAACCGGTTTGGCAACCTTTGGGCTTTGTCTTTTAAAAAAGTTCCATAAGAAGGACAATGCACCAACGATTACAAATAATAAAAAAAAGCTAAAATAATAAAAAAATTCTTAATTTTACAATTTTACTTAAATAGATTTTTACATTTTATTTCATTTAAATAAATATTTAATTTATATCTAATAAGTTTTAATTTTTTTAGATACAAATGAAAGTATAAAAATTTATTTGAATATAATAAAAATATAAAGATTTATTTAAAAAATTAATTCAAATATTCTTTTAGTATTTTAATTTAAGAAATACTTTTTGTCTCTTTGATAATTATTTGATTTTTCAAATTTGAATATTTTTATTTGTAAATTATTAATTAAAAATTTTACAAATAATCTTTTAAAATTTTGAATCAAATAAAAATGAAGTTAAATTTTGATTTACCATAATAAAAAGAAAAATTAAAAAAAATCCAAAACCATTTTCAAGTGATTCAATCAATGGCTACAAATAAACAGGGCCTTGTATGAATATCAGCAAAGTTAGAAGAAACAGCAGAACGGGTGATCATTGCTCTACGACTAGAAGTATTGAATTGACACCAGCTACCCTCGCTCGATGCCATCAATTTACTTAGTCTCCACCGCCCATCAATGACACCAGCATTTTCGTCCGACGGTCATCCAAGCTAGGCGTAAATATCCCAACTTGGATGAGACAGGATGAGTACTACCAGAAAAACTCCGGCAAGTTCTGGGACAACTTCTACAAGCGCCACAAAAGCAAGGTCTTTGATTTTTTTGAATTTTTTTTTTGTAAAGTTAACCTGTTTGAGTTTTGGGTGTGTTCAAAAAACCCTTTTCTGAAATTCGGTAATGCTGTAATTGTGCCATTTTTCTGGAGACATCTTGGACAAACATTTCTGGGAAATTTACTAAGAAAACTTTTTTTTTTATTTGTTTAGGATAGAGATTTTCAAGGATAAAGTAGTTCAATTGATTTTTGAGTTTGATTGTTATGTTGTTTTATAGTTCTTCAAGGATAGACATTACTTGGAGAAGGAGTGGGGGCAATACTTCTCTGATGATGCTCATTCCGCAAATGGCAAGGTTGTTTTAGAGGTATACTTTATGCTTCATTGATTCTAAAACACTGTTATATTACCTTTGTTTGTACATAATCCCTGTTTGTTAAAATTTAATAAGGTTTATCATTTCTTTTCCATAGTGCTTAGTTACTAGCTTTGTTGCTAATTTATGTAATTGAACTGACCATCTTCTTCTGGCAGGTTGGTTGTGGAGCTGGCAATACAATCTTTCCACTTGTGGCAGCATATCCCAAACTTAACGTGGAAGCTTTTGATATCTCACCTTGTGCAGTCGTGCTTGTTAAGGTTTGCAACCTTTGCTTACAATGAATTTGGGACAGTTTTTCTTTTGGTTATTTCAGAAGTTCAAGTGATCTGTTTATGCTCTCATTGGATGTTTATGGCTTAGTATAATAGACTTGCATTTAGCTTGCAAGTATGTTTATTCATGTTCATAAAACACTATTGGGCATGGTATTTGTTAAATTTGCAATAGATGGGAAGTGGTATGGGTTGTTTCTTAGATGGGTAAGGCAGGAATACTCGGAGTAACTTGTACTGTTTTACTAAATGCAGTCACGTGCGGAGTTCAGAGAAGATTGGGTTAATGCATTAGTCTGTGATTTTACAATTGACAATCTTCTAAAAAGGATTAATCCTTCTTCAGTTGATGTCAATACCTTGGTAAGAGTGGCAATCTCCAATTCTGAGGTGTCTGATCCTGCATCTAGTCACTATAGTGGTTTGCAGAGTTCAAAACTAATGGGCTTCTAACATTTTTTCTGATTATTGCAAGTACACTGCTCATGCTCCCGTGCTTCACTTGTTAAGGACAACATCTATATCATAACTAACACGGTAAGCAGATTTTTATGCTGTCTGCAGTTTCTCCATATAAAATGCCCTTGATATTACAGAATATTAAAAGAGTTGTTATAACACACACACACACACACACACACATATATATATATATATATATATATGGATTTACTGTTAAATATGGACTTTAGAAGTTATTATTAATTTTTTTATTTAAGTACGATTGATTATCTAACCGAATCTGTCATATTTAAAGAGAAATTCTAAGATTAACTTAGGTATTTTAAATAATAGATTTTGATCCATGAAACCAAATCTTGAGTTTGGAAGTGCAATTATGTGTGAGAAAAGTTATAACATCTTCACATCGCTCATCTAACAGAAGGTATCAATTTGATTTTAAATTATTCAAGCCTTAAAATATCTTTGTAATTTTACCAAATAATTTAATCATTAGAAATTGATTTTAAAAATATTTCAATAGTTTAGTATTAATTAAAATAATTTTTTCACTTCAAGAGTATTCATAAAAACTAATGTCTCACTTTGTTGTAGGATTCATTGATATATTTTATTTAAAAATAATCAATAAAATTTTTTAATAGCTTGATAAGATTTTACTTTATTATAAATATTTTAATAGTTAGGTGAGATTTTATTTTAAAAATTATTTACAAAATTTATTTTAAGAAACTTCATTAAATCTTCTAATAATTTGATAAGATTTAATTCAAATTTTAAATTCTTTAATAATTTAGTAGAATAAAAATAGTTTTTTTAATAAAAATTAAGATATAAAATTCTTCAATTGTTTGATAAAATTCATAATTTTAAAAAAGTCTAAACCCATAAAAATTCTTTCATAGTTTAGTAAGACTCATGATTTTATTTTAAAAACAAAGTTGTTATTATCATCTTATATATTTTAAAACATTTATTATCAAAATAAATAATAAGTAAAAAGATAAAATAAAAAAATTTATACCTTAGACGAAGTCAAAGTTGAAATCTGAAAAAAAAAAAAAGAGCTTAAAATAGGTCCAAGCTAACTCTTGATCCAAGCTTGAAATGAGGCTTAATGACTTGGGTTCACAAATGGGTTCAAGCTTATTCAAGATGGTACAAAGGATGGAGCAATTGGGCTAATCACTGGGCCTGGGCGAGCTGGTGCATTCTACTGAAATTGGTCTGAAATGGGTCAGACGCAACTGGGCTGGGTCGGTTCAGAAATAAAACGCGGGTCTTAGATAGGTGAAAGGAACCAGATTCCTTACTATCCAAAACTATGCCGTTTTGCCTTTCTATTTAATCCAAAAATCAGACTACTTCCTCCATTTTCCCATTTTTGTTTCTCTCTCTAGCCCTAAATTTCTCCCTTTTCTGTAATTTGCTGCTCTCAAACACAGAAATTAACCAGTTCTTTTCCAGAATCCAGTGAGTCGCCGCTGTTGTCGCTGCCGGCTGCTGGCCGCCAAGCTCGTTCGCCGCCTTTCTTCACCAGCCTATCACTACCAGTTTTTTTCCTTCAGCAACGTAGATTCTTCGTTCTAACCGAAACTCCAAGGATTTCTAGCAACTTCTTTATTCAACTTCCTCTGCCGATTTTGATGTTCTTTACTTATGGTCTTCTTTTGTTTCTGACTTTTTTTTTTTAAATTATTGACAGGAGTTGGCCGTTTCGCAGGAGATTAAGGACGATGGCAGGATCGGCTTGAGTGGAAATTGGTGATTTGATCTGTTGGGTTTTGGTCTAGTGTTTGTGGGTGTCTGTGGAGTTGTTTGCAGGTTTATGGCTTGATGGTGTCTGGATATGGATTTTCTGGATTTTGTGTTTGGTTGCTGGATTATTTGATGCTTCCTCTGCTCTGTTTGGTTTGCCAGGATTTTTCGTGTCTCTTTTGGGGTTGATTCTAGGCTGCTGGCTTCCTGGGAATTGATTGATCGCCGGATGAGATTTTTGGGTTTAGGCTCTGGATTATTGCCTAAGAATTGCTTGTTGGCTTAATGCTGAATTGCTTTTTTTTCTTTTTTGGCTTGGATTTGCTGAGAATTGCTTCTTTGCTGAATAATCTTTCTTGATTATTTTCTCTGTTAATTGCTCCTCCCTCTGTTTTGCCGATGGCTTCCTCTTTGATTGCCCTTGTATAATCTTTTCTTTGTTTTTGCTTATGGGTGGACACTGCTTGATGGACTTGCAGACTTCGTGCGGATGTGTAAAGATTGGTCTCAGTTGGCTCGCTGTGATGGAGACTAAGGACCGCTTGGTGTTTTGAATTCTTGATAGCCTTATGACCCCTGATTTTGGCTCTGAGTTGCCGCTAATTGCCTCAGTTTGATAAAACTTTGCCCAAGAATTCTCAATTGCCTCTGAATTGATTGTGAAGTGAATTGCTATTAGGCACTCCCTTCCTCGTGATTGTTCTATCTGTTTATAGTGATTGAATCCTTTCAATTTGAAAGGCAAATCAATTCAATCAAATTTAAGATTTTTTCTAATTTGATTTGATTTGATTGTGAATTAATTCTATGATTGCATGAATTAGGTCTCAAGAAATTTCAAAATCATCAAATCATTAATTTCCCTAAATTCAAGATCTTCAAGCAAATCCTTCACATTTTTTGTTCGGTTTTCTGATTCTTTTTTGTTCTTTTTACTTTTCCTTTGACCGAAAACAAAATTAAACAAAAAAAAAAAAATTAAAATTAAAATAAAAAATCAAAAGCCAAAATTTGTATGGGCTTTTAATCATTGGATTCAAAATTTTGCATCAAAGCCCAATTTGTGATTAAAAGCTTGTTTTAATTTTGATAAGTTTCGAGACAAAATGGGATATGTATAGTTATCTCTTTTTGTGAAATAAAAATTGCGTAAAGATATAATTATTTATTATGTCTAAGTTCAAAAATAAAACTACTTAGTTAGAGTCAAAGTTTAAAATTAAAAGATATGACTTTATTCGAAGTCAAAAAATAAGATAACTTGTTGTTAGTCGAATTCAAATTAAAAAAATATCAAATTTAGCCAAAATAAAAAATGAAGGTGATCGAATTGTGCAAAAATATAAAGGTGATGAGAATTGAATTGCAAGTAAAAAAAATTAAATGACTTGAATTAAATTGAGATCGAAAATAAGTGATTATGATTGAATCGTAAGTTAGAAAAAATAAGTTACCTGAATTGAACCGAGGGCGAAAATAAGTGATCAAGACTGGACTGTAAATTAAAAAAATAAATGACTTAGACTAAGCCGAGGTTGAAAATAAGTGATTGAGACCGCAAGTCAAAAAAATAAATGACCTAGATTGAATCAAGGTCGAAAATGACTAAGTCTGAACCTAAATTGAGATATGAGATCAAAGAATCCATAAATTTTTAAAGATCATGCTCGAAAGTCTTATAGATCATCTTTGGATGTCTTTGAGAAAAAAAATCTTATAAAATAAAAGCCTTCACAATTTTAAAATTCGAAAAATGTTCTCTTCGTCCATTTTGTTCAATTCTAGAAAAGCTGAACACTTTTAACTTGAAACCAAAGATTTACAATTTGGAAATCTAAAGGTTTGTCACAAAACTTCAAAGATTCATAAAGTTTCATAACAACAATTGAAAGATTCTAAAACTCCAAGATTCGCAAAAAAATCATAATGATTTTAAAATTCGCAAAGATTCAAAATTTGCAAAAATTTTTAGATTCACAAGAATTTCAAGTTTTGCAAAGATTTCAAAAGTTTGTAAATGACTTAAGATTCTCAAAGGTTCTAGATTTATAAGGATTTTATGTTTCACAAAACTTCTAGATTTGCAAGATTCTAAGTTTTGCAGAGATTCCAGATTCATAAAGTTTTTAGATTTACAAGAATGGAATATTCGCAAGCCTTTAGATTTGCAAAAGTTTTAGATTGTTTGGACTTCAAAGATTCACAAAACTTTCAGATTTGCAAAGATAAAAGATTCGTAAGATTTTTAGATTCACAAGAATTTTTAGATTAGCAAGATTTCCAAACTATAATTCATATACAAGATTTCAAAATTTGCATTCAAAAGATTTTTGTTAGTGATTCACATCCAAAATTTAAAACTTAATATTTCAAAAATTCAAGGATTCACATAAAAAATTTCAAAGTACACCTTAAGAATTTAAAATTCTCATTCGAAAATTTTAGATATTCACATCCAAAAGTTAAAGATTTTCATTTGAAAAATTTAGGGATTCATATCCAAAATTTATATTCAAAAACTTTTAGAGATTCACTCAAAAGTTAAAGATTTCTATTAAAAAAACTTAGAGATTCACATCAAAAATTTTAAAAATTCACATTTAAAAACTTTAACATTTTACAACCAAAATTTCAAAAATTCACATTCGAAAAATTTTAAGGATTCCCATCCAAAATTTAAAAATTATTCACCTTCAAAAATTTTTAGAGATTTACATCTAAAGTTTCAAAAACTCATATTCGAAAAGTTAGATATTCACATTCAAAAAATTTTAAAAATTTACATCCAAAGTTTTAAAGATTTTAATTTAAAAAATTTCTGGGTAAAAGATTCTCATTAAAAAAATTTTATGATTCACATTCAAAATTTCAAAGATTTTCATTCGAAAAATTTTATATTTCACATCTAACATTTGAAATATTCATATTCAAAAAATTTTGGATTCACATCCAAAGTTTCAAAGGTTCTTTTTCAAAACTTTATGACTACACATCAAAATTTTAAAGATTTTTGGTATTCGCATCCAAAATTTCAAAGATTCTTATTTAAAAAATTTTGGTTTTCACATTCAACATTTCAAAATTTTCATTTGAAAAATTTTGGAATTAATATCAAAAATTTCAAAAATTCTCATTCGAAAATTTTTAAGTTTCATATCCAACATTTCAAATATTCATATTCAAAAAATTTTGGATTCACATCCAAAGTTTCAAAGGTTCTTTTTCAAACCTTTATGGCTTCACATCAAAATTTTAAAGATTTTCATTCAAAAAAAAATAAAAATTAGAGATTCACACCTAAAGATTTTC